CGAAAGGGCGGTTCAAGGGTGCTAATCCTTCCTTGACCGTAACCGACTCCCGAACCCGACACGTTTCTGGTACGACGCAGATCAGGTAAGATGGTATCCGGCCCACCTAAATTCGTTTTAAAGTGGTCGGTGGCGACTCCAATTCATTTAATCCAAGTCGAAGCCCAATTCCGGGGCACAACCGAAAGACGGTTGCGACAGATACTCTTAGTGGCGTTTGGTTGGATGGAATCCCATAGAATTGGTGTGAATTGAAATTCAATTCTACCACTTTCCCATGTTTTGTTCAAGTTTTTCAAGGGAATTAGAATCCCTGATGGAATTCAATTCCCTTGTTGGAGGGAATTGAAATTTAACCATACTACCCTTATCAATCATTTGGTAACTTATTCATATATTGAATAAAAATATTTTTTTATTATTTCGGGTCGGGTCGGGTGAAACTTTATTTTGGTCGGGTCGGATCGGGTTTTTTTAAGTGTGATATTCGGGTCGGGTCGGGTCGAGTTCGGGTTTAGGGTGAAAAAAACTGGACCAACCCGAAAATATATATAATTCAAGTCGGGTCGGATTAAGTCACTGTTTTTATTAAATAAAAACAATTTTATTATTTCGGGTCGGGTCGGATTTTTAATTCATATATTCGGGTCGGGTCGGATGAAACTTTATTTTGTTTGGGTCGGGTCGGGTTCGGATTTAGGGTGAAAAAAACCGGACCGACCCGAAAATATATATAATTCAGGTCGGATTAAGTCACTGTTTTTATTAAATAAAAATATTTTATTATTATTTCGGGTCGGGTAGAATTTCTAATTCATATATTCGTGTCGGGTCGGATGAAACTTTATTTTGTTCGGGTCGGTTTTTTTAAGTGTGATATTCGGGTCGAGTCGGGTCGGGTTCGGGTTTAGGGTGAAAAAAAAAACAGACCGACCCGAAAATATATATAATTCGGGTCGGGTCGGATTAAGTCACTGTTTTTATTAAATAAAATTAATTTTTTATTATTTCAGGTCGGGTCGGATGAAACTTTATTTTGTTCGGGTCGGGTCGGATTTTTTAAGTGTGATACTCGGGTCGGGTCGGGTTTTTTTAAGTGTGATATTCGAGTCAGGTCGGGTCGGGTTTAGGGTGAAAAAAACCGGACTGACCCGAAAAAAAATATATAATTTTACCTTATATATTTAGGAATAATTACAATAATACCCCTCTATATATAATTTTTTTCAATTAAGTCAATGTTTTTATTGATAAAAAATAATTTTTTATTATTATTTTGAGTCGTGTCGGGTCAAGTTTCTAATTCATATATTGAATAAAAATAGTTTTTGGTATATTTTTTGGTAACTAATTAACATACTCCGATTGGAATGTATCGAAATATTGCTCTATCTTTTGGTAACTTATTAACATATTTTGATTGCGATGATTTTAACTTATAATGTTTATTAGCATGATTTTTACAATTTATTGAAATGAATAATCAATCAATAAAATAAAATTTAATATTTTTTAAATTTTTTATAATATATTACTACATGTAAGTTGTAAAATAAACTAAAATAAAGCAAAAAAAAATAAGAAGAACAATTCTGTCATTTTACATTACTAAAATCAAATTCATCTGACATGTCTGCGAACCAAACAGAATATAGAATTGGATTCCAATTACATTTCCTGCCAACCAAACAGAATATGGAATTGGATTACAATTCCTTTACAAATTCCAATTCCCTCATAAACATTCCAGCGAACCAAACGCCACCTTAATGTTAAATGTATGAAATTTGTCTAAGCTTCTTAAGATTGTTTGATTTAAGGAAGATGACAGTGGGGTTAAAAGTGAAAGTTGATATTTTTAGGCAAAATTCTTAGATCAATTTCAAGGAATCCAAGCCTAATTCTCATATGAAGTACGTATGTGTTGAAATAAGATGGAGATTCTAAACCATTTCATAAGTTTGAGTCCTTGAAACATGAGTATCAATTCATTCAAAAGAGTGTGATGTAATGAGTTGTCAATGAGTTTGAATTATATTTAGAAGCATTTGATTGTAGATAATGCCATGGAGTTCTACTTGAAGGTGCTTAAAGTTCTTAAAATCGAAAAAAAAAAGTTTAGTTGAGGAATGCCAACTCAGTTCAAGGTCTGGCATGCCACCCAAGGGACTAAAAATGGTACTTTTATAACCATCAAATGGGATTGCCGGTGAAATTCAAGCCTTGTGCTTGTCAAAATATTAGTGTTAATGAGTACTCAACAAACTCAATTAATCTGTTGCTTATAAAAATCATCTTTGATTTATGCATCTCAGTAACTAGAGGCAGGGAATCTATACATTGCAATATGGTCCTCATCACAGGGTGATCTCGGCCCAATGCCCATGAACAAACAAATATTCTTATGTGTGGTTTGTAGTTAGCCCCAAATGAGAAGGAAAGGGAGGTCAATTTCATATTCTATGCATAGATTGAAATTGATAGGACATAAATAAATTAAATAGTACTTAGTAGCCATTTAATGCTTGACTTGACACATGATCAATGGAATGGAAGACCGTGTTAAATGAAATTTATGCATTAACGAGAATTTGATGGAATGAAGATAAGCACGGAGGATGGTAACTTACTCTCCGTTTGTTTTACTCAAAACGTTTTATGAAAAATATTTTCTGTAAAATGAATTATATTTTTTAGAAAATATTTTTTGAAAAATGTTTTACGATGTTTGAGAGATGTTGTTTAAATCATTTTTTTACTAGTTGATGAAATTTTTAAAAAATATTTTTTTACAAATATTAAATACAATAAATAATATTATTTATCATAAAACTTAATATTATTATTTTTAAAATATTATTATAATTTATTTATTATTAAAATATTATTTTTATAATTTTATTAATAAAAATAAAAATATTTGTATATTTTATTGAAATTAAAATATTATAAATTATATTAATTATTTATTAAAGTAATAGTGTTATATTATATTTTAAAAATATTAATTAGTATATTTTAAATATCTTTATTAAGATATTATTAGATCATTATATTGATATTAAATATATAAATAATATTATTCATTATTAATAATTTAATAATATTATTTCTATGAAATTAATAAATAAAATAAATTTTATTAATAATTTATTATATATTATTAAAATAAAAATATAATATATTATATTATTATAATATAATTGATTATTTTATTATAATATTAAAAATATTATATTATATTATTAGAAATATTAATAAATATATTTTAAAAATTTTAAAAATTAATATTTTGATTAAAAATGATATTAAACTATTTTATTAATATTAAATTCATAAAATAAAATTATTTTGAGTATTTATTTTTTGAAGCGAAAAGTAAAGAAAATGACTTACGGAAAATCAAACCGTAAATCATTTTCTAGAAAATACAAAGGAAATTATATTTGATCAGGAAAATATTTTACTTTTACCAACCAGTTTTCCTTAAACCAAACACTGAAAAATGAGGAAAACATTTTTCGAAAAATATTTTAAGTGAAACAAACAGACCTTAAACCATAACACCATTTATGTGATAGAGAGGAAGGCTTTGTTCTATTTAATGCACATGGGGAAGTGTGGCTGCATGCCTTGAATGTCATTCATTGATTTCACCAGCTACCTTACCTAAATCCCATTAATAAGGTATTCAAACCACATCTGTATATACATATTTCCAATATCAACAGCTAGAACAAGGAAGAAGAAGAAGAAAGAGAGAAACAATGGAGAAGAGTAGTGAAAAGGGTAATGGTGTTGCTGCTGCTACAACAAGGTCTCCAATGGCTTTAATGGGGTCTTCGAGAAGTGAAAATGAGGAAGAAGTGAACACTAGCATGAGAACTGCCGAGACCATGCTGCGCTTGGTGCCGATGGCTTTAGGGGTTGCTGCCCTTGTTGTCATGCTCAAGGACTCTCAGTCCAATGACTTCGGCTCGGTTTCCTACTCAGATCTTGGAGCTTTCAGGTTCTTCTTTAACCTTGAATCTAAGACTTTTATCATGTTGCAATAAGTAGTTACCCAACTGAATCAATATGAGCTCATAAAGAGTTTACTGTTTCCCCCCACCTTTTTAAGGTATCTGGTGCATGCAAATGGAATCTGTGCAGGCTATTCCCTTCTTTCAGCTATTGTTGCATTCATGCCTCGTCCCTCAACTATGCCTAGAGCTTGGACTTTCTTCCTCCTCGATCAGGTCATCTAATTTAACTTCTTTTTCATTAATTACATCAACCTTTAAACATCATAATGATTTTCATCTTTTTTTTTATATATTCCTGCAGATTCTCACATACATAATCCTGGGTGCCGCTGCTGTGTCAACGGAGGTGCTTTATTTGGCAAACAAAGGAGACTCGGCAATCACCTGGAGTGCTGCTTGTGGCTCATTTTCTGGTTTCTGTCACAAAGCCACAACATCAGTGATCATCACATTTATCACTGTATTTTGTTATGTTGTGTTGTCACTGGTGTCTTCCTATAGACTCTTCACCAAGTTTGATGCACCGGTCAAGTGCACCAGCAAGACGATTGAAACCACTGTCTTCCATGGTTGATTTATGTTACTATTACTGACGATGATGCTTAGTTTCACGGTGTGCCTGTAATAAAACATAGGTTGCCTATAGTGTTTGCGCCGTATGAGTAATCAGACTGCTTACTACCTTCAAGGTGGCATTCTTTGTTATATGTAATGCCAACAAATTACAGAAGTGATAAGTAATACCACAATAGGTAAAATTTGATGCTTAATTTTGCTGGCTCATGCAACTCTTTTTATGACATGCAACAAATAAAATTGTGAATCGCAATTACATTACAACATTTTTTTTATATAAAAAAACTATAGAAAGACAGTAAAACATCTTTTAATTTATTGTTACATAAGAGCATTTCTCTTGTCCAAAAATCAATAGCTGAAAGAATAAAGTAGCATGCGTCTTTTTCTTGAAGCAGATCAGTTGGTTTTAGCAAACCCAAGGGATTTCTTTCCGTCATGAGCATTCCCAAAGAAGCAGTTCATGTAATCTGAAAACACTAATTCTCTGTAACGAGCCACTCCATCTTTCTCCACTACTTGAGGCAATGGTGCGATCTTTTGTGTTCCTTGTGGACTTACAAATATTGGTATTGACACTCGAGATTTTGTGCTTGTGGTGCGGACCCTATATTCTGCACTTTTGTATCTTCCATTACTCCATATCTGAATACATATAAATTATGTATTAGATCAGATTGTACTCTACTCAATACTCATGAAGTTTCCATAAATATGAAACAAACTAATATTGATTCGAACCTGTAACATATCACCGACATTGATGACTAAGGCTCCGGGAACAGGGGGAATCTCTACCCACTCTCCCTTCTTTTCCATGTCAACGTCTTCAGGAACTCCACGGTTGATAACTTGGAAGAACCCAAGAGTCTCAGCAGCTCTAACAATTTGATTCACCACTTCATCATGGTCAGGACCATCAAGGCTCAACAAATCAATGGGTAGAATCTCACATTTGGTGGCATTGTTCTTATTAATTTGCTCGGCTGGTGGCTGAATGTAAGCCCAGGGTACCTTTGAAATGCTAGAATCCACTGTCCCTTTGACGCCGTTGCCATCTCGGACAACAAAATTAAAAAGGGAGCTTTGATTATCAAAACATGGAGCCATTTGAGTGTGAAACTGTAAGTAATTGTTTTGTATGAGCAAAGAGGTTGTTTGATATGAAATTGTGTGGTGGATCGACCAAAGGGAAGGAGGGGGGCTATTTATAGTGCATGAATGAGTAATAAAAAATAATTTCTTCTTAACTTATGATGCCAATGGGATTGAAGTTTTCAGCAGGACAATGTTACATGTGACATTTTACTTTTGAAGAAACTTTGCAATATGCAGTACATATATTTCTAGTTTTTGATGCTTTACCGAGTCATATTGTGTTTCTCCTTTGACGGCCAGGTGCTTGACTTATACCTTGTCGTCGAAGGATTTGCCATTTAAAAAAGTGTATCAGTTTCTTTCTTTGTTTCGTAGAACTAAGGATTGTTCTTAAGTTTTATTCATTGGGAAACATTGAAGATTCATATTTTAATGATTATAATCAACCATCCATGCACTATAAGTAGCCCCCTCCTTCCTTTTGGTCCATCCGCAACACAGTTTCATATCAAACAATCCTCTCTGCACATACAGAAGCAAATAAGCAATACCCCAACAGCTTACTTAAACACATTACACCCAGATGGCTCCAAGTATTGATAATGAGAGCTCCCTCTTCAATTTTGTCGTCCGAGATGGCAATGGCGTCAAAGGAATTGTGGACTCTGGCATTTCAAAGGTGCCCCAGGCTTATATTCAGCCACCCGCCGAGCAAATCGATAAGAACAATGCAACCAAATGTTTATTTCCACCCATTGATTTGTCCAGGCTTGATGGTCCCGACCATGATGAAGTGGTGAATCAGATTGTTAGAGCTGCTGAGACTCTTGGATTCTTCCAAGTTATCAACCATGGAATTCCTGTACAATTACTCGAGTCCCTGGAGCAGACGGTACATAACTTCTTTGGCTTGCCTTCATAAAAAAAGCTGTGTATCGCAAAGAAGTGAGCCCATCCCCATTAGTCAAGCACGGCCCGATTTTTGTCCCTGAGAAGGAGAAAGCTTTGGAATGGAAAGACTACATTAGCATGGCTTACACCAATGATGCTGAAGCTCTGCAACAATGGCCTGTTGAGTGCAGGTACTGAAATATATCTATGAACCGTATTTTCTTTTCTTTCTTAGTAGATTGTGTAAAGAATACAGAAATCTTAAGAAAGCTTCTTGATTCTTCATTAACGAAAGCAAGGTTTATATACATGTGATAACCAACTACCTAAGCTGGTAAACTGGTGTAACATAATGTTAACAACTTACTGCACTACACTTTTACACACACACAGCAGATTACTTCTATATTCATTCTAGAACGTTTACTTCAATATTCCCCCTAATTTTTCTCTTCTCAACTTCAAGAAATGAAAGCACACCAATCCTTTGCCTAAACTGAACAAATCTATCTTTCGTTAATGCCTTAGTAAGCCCGTCTTCCACTTGATGTTCAGAAGGTACAAAGTTCACTTAAAGCTTTCCTGCAGCAACTCATTCCCTCACGAAGTGTATGTCTAACTCCACGTGCTTTGTTCTAGAGTGGTAAACTGAATTAGCACTCATTGCAATTGCACTTGTGTTGTCATTCCACACAACTGAAGCAGCTTGAACTCGAACCTTCATATCACACAGCAATGCTTCAAGCCAAATGATATCAGAGGTGGCATCAGCTAGACTCTTGTACTCAGCCTCTGTAGTGGACCTCGAAACTATCTTCTATTTCTTTGAACTCCACTGAACCATACTACCACCAAGGAAGACACAAGTGCCTGATATGGACCTTCAATCATCGATACTGCTTCCCCAATAGGCATCAGCAAAGGCCACAAGCTTAAATGGTTCTGTTCTTGGCAAAAAAACCAAACCATAATCGAGTGTCCCCTTAAGGTATCTCAGCACACGTTTGAATGCCACCAAGTGTTGTTCACATTGTGTATGCATGAACTGGGCTAGCTTATTCACACAATAAGCTATGTCTGGCCTTGTATGACACGCATATAACAAGGACTCAACCAAGTTGCAATATTCCTTCGCATTTTCTAATAAACTACCTGCATCATTACTTGATAGTTTAATCGATGCAACCATAGGAGTTGGAGTTGTTGTGGCCTTGCTCATTCCTGACTTATCTAACAGTTCCATTATATATTTCTTCTGGCTGAGGAAGACTGCATCATCAACGCACTTTACTTCAATTCCAAGGAAAAATTAAGCATGCCCAAGTCTTTGAGTGAGAACCTCTCTCCTAGTAACTTCACAACCTGCTCAACATCCTCATTTTTTCTCCTGTAACAATGATATCATCAACATAGGCTAATACATACGTGCTAGTACTATTGTTATGTTTGATGAATAAGGAGTTATCTGCACGAGAACTTTAAAATCCCAAATCAACCAGAAAATTTTTCAGCTTGGAGTACCAATTCCTTGGTGCTTGTAGGGATGATGCCCTTCAATATTTGAAGATGTACATGACATGGTGAAGAAATTGCTTGAAGCTTTGATGGGAAGTCTGGGAGTGGAACTAGATGACTCGAAGATGGATGCATTAATTGGAAAGAATATGGTTAATATGAACTTTTATCCAACATGTCATAACCCTGAACTCACGGTATGGGACGCCACTCCTGTAACACCCCAACCCGTATCCGACCCGGATCCGAGTCCGAGGTGTTACATCAACTTTCAAAACCTTTACTTGTACAAACTAATAAAAATTTTCCATTAAAAGAAAACTTCATATAATTTCAAAATAAAGGTTTACAAACTTATCAGAGCAGATACAATTCAAATCTAATAGTACGTGCCAACTATATTCAAAGGAACCAAAATACATATTAATTATTATTTTTCTGATCTGAACTTAGTAAGGAAGATGTCTGACCTGTCTTGCTCCTTTTAGCTTATCTTCTCGCTTTCCAACTTACGTGTGAAAGATTCACACGCTAAGTCAAAGACTTAGTGAGGCATAAAACGTGTATAATCTGAACTTCCTATATTCCATAATGCGTGAACATTTCACAATTCATATAAAAATATATAACGCAACATCATATATCAATTTAGACAACCAATTTATACATGTACACATATCATCATATCATATAGCATAATATACTGTTTCATGTGCATATAATCATTTATTTTACCTCACTCAACTTATATTACAATCTCCTGTTATCCTTTGAATCATCCCTTTTTTTTCATAATTCTTAATTATATAATCTCTTTACCATAGTCATTTGTCTTATCTATTATTTCCATAACCTTCAATTTACCATATTACCTATAGACTCTTGTTACATATTTTATTCCATATTCTTGTGTGCTAATTCTTTATATTCTATTAGCTCATTTTCCACATAATTTTCCACATAAACACATTACCATACTTATCACAACTTAACTCCTATAATATTCCCATATGACTTCATTTCCTAGATGTTTGTACTATGTTTTATATCACTTAAGAATTAAACCAGCTTTAGATCATCATTTCATTAAAACATATGGAATTTACTATACAACTTATTTCTATACATATTTCCTATTTGATGTATTATTTATTTATCTCAATTAATTTATCTAAATTCTCATTTCCTAGTATAATTTTATTATACTAGTTCACCTACAAAGTACATTCTCACCATATGATCATAATTATTCTATTCATATAATCCTATAATCTATCATTTTATTTCATATACCTATACTTATGGAATTCATAACGTTTCTCATGTAATTACTTGAAACATATCATAAAAGTTCATTATAGTCTCTTATATTCCAAAATATCAAACAAACATCATTTTTAACATAGATAATAACATATGCAATACATGCAATCAATACACTCATATTCAAGTACACAATTACATAACAATCATATCAAATTTATAATCTTTATTAACTTCTTATTAGCCCATGTACACATTTGAGAATCTGAGGTATGTGAGTACACTGAGGTTGTGCACTAATGATGTCACCACAGCTCGAATAAATTCCCACTAGGGGCACTGAAAATTTGTCCCGAAGGACCACTGATAATCCCTCGACTCTTGGCATGCCAATTATACCTATAGCTCTCAATTCACATAACATGGGCATTATCTTTTAGGATAATTCATTTCACTTATTTCACGTAACATTTTCACCTGCACTTGTAAACACTTAACTTATTTTCGTATAACTCATGTCACATATTCATATCACTTAAGCACATAGTTCATTTCCATTTAATTCATATTCCTCATATGATCGCATAACTCAATTCACATAATCTCTGATGTTCCTATCATATAATTTATATAATCACATGTGTTATTTATATTAATTCACATGATTTATTACACTAACATGTATTCACACATATCATATAACATAAGCAATAACTAAATACACACATGCCAGGTCAAATCCATGCTCATATTAATGCATTCATGCATTCTACTATAGGAAATAGACCGATCACAAGTCTTATTCCCATTAAAATATCCTATAATAACTAGTATGCACTCACCTTAGCCTTGTTTGCTTTGACTCGATTCTAATCCTTTGATTGTTCTGGAACAAGATTACGTTCTATACCTACATAGTAATACATTGATACATATCAATATATTTAATTGATATATCTTAAACTATCACTCCTTAGGCTAAAAAGAAAGCTATTTTCATCTTTTAATGAAGGTATGCATCGATGCACTCTACAGTGTATCGATGCATTCCTTAACGTGTGCATAGATGCACTACCTGTGCATCGGTACACAAATCACTTTCGATGTTTTAATCTTAAGGGGTGCATCGATGAACCAATTGCATTCGATGTTCATTTATTTGAGAGTGCATCGATACACATTAAAGATGCATCGATGCACACAACCCAAAAATTCCATTTTAAGCACGAAATTCACTCTCTTTTCATCTCAACTCTTCATCTTTCACCTCCTTTAATATTCCTAACTTTCATAGACACACTTAAACTCATTTCTACTCAATAATCACTTCTTTAAACTCAACA